TCAAATACAATAAAAATTGATAATTTATTTGTAACGCACATTTGTAGTAACAAATTGATTCCTTATATGAAATACTTTTATCGGATCTGGTATTTTAAAGTAGTTAAACTTTGTATTTTACACTAATTGATTTGGACAAATATTTGAATAGTTATGGAGTTAAGCAACCAGTGCGCGATATCTTTAAAGATGAAGAAATAAATTCAATAAGATCAATAGTTTTAAAATAAATGGCTTTCTCAAGATATTTCACATGAAACTAAATCGTGAGTGTATTTTTCAGGAATTTTCCAAGCACACCGTGAAACATTACAATCATTCTAAGCTTTTCTACGGTGTGTGCTTGTCTGATAATCGTAACCAAACAAATATTTCAACGTGGGACCTGAAACAGAGCGTTGAGGCCCGTCTCAACGAATCGTTTTGGTCCGAGCATCGCTTGAGAACAAAAATCACCGATATATCGTGTTCCAATGAGAAGGAAGATCATAAGTTGGATACCAGTGACGCAATTGTTGGCATCGCGTGTCTTATTTTAATTCTACTGAACGTCGTTGCAAGTTTTTGTGATTTATACTTCGGTGATGAAAATAATAAAAGTAAGTTGCTAACCGTCCGCTCTTTAATTTCGATGCCTCCAATGAACACTAACTCAAAATTTTGAAATTTTCGTTTTTCTTGAAAATCGCTTCACTATGTTAAAAGTATTACAATTAATCATTATTGATGGGGTTCGAAGCAAGAGTAAATCAGCTAGTTACACAAGAAAAAACCATAAATATATCTGCAATAATAAAGATTTGATCAACTTTTTTCGTTTAAACGCTCCTCCTGTAAACCTACGAATTTGGAGTTAGCGTAGTGTTCATTGGAGGCATCGATTTGTTAATTACCGGGGCTACTTTCACACTTCCTCTGACATACTTATTTCAGGCCCGGAATGGTACCACTATTTTTCAATACGATGCAACTGGCGTAGGCTGATGGAGCCATTTGACGAGACCAACCCGCGGCTTCGTCCACTGAAATGTTTGAACGGTTTAAGGTAAATCTAATTTCAAATCCTATCCTACTTGTTGTTTTTATTAGTGATATATATGTATGTATATTGGTGCTCTACCCCACTGATGGATACTGTTCTCATTGCTTTCATAGATAGATAACTCTACCGCCCAACCAATAGTGAATGGTCACTAAGCCTCATGAACGCCATTTCTGTTTCTGTCCAAGCCCACAAACTATAGTCCTTGGAACATGCGTTTAAATGCCAATATAGTTACAAAGCATACCACTCTTCAATGCGCAACACGAGATTGTCTCGTAGCGGATGTAAGCAGAGTAAAAGTATCAGAGAGAGTGTATAGTGGTACAGATAGTCCGAGGCAAACCGGCAATATCTTTAGCAGAAAGAAAATTAATAGCTTTGCTTAAATTTAGTGCTTATGGATATTCGCATCCAGAACTTTATTCTTATTCAAAATACTGCAACATCGTTTGATTGTATTATGATTATTATTATTCATCGAAAACTTTCCGAAATATATGCGTTTATACGAGATATGTGAAATAATTGAAGTGAAAACTTCTTTAGAATCGTTGTGATTTCAAACCGGATGCAACGGAAAAAACGACAGGTAAGAGACACAAATACAAAAATGTGTAGGATGAAGCCAGCAAAGAATGAGACAGAAATATACATACTATTTAATACAACGCCATCTGTGAGATTTTTTAATACTAACGTGTGTATGAAAGCTCTTGTAGTGAAT